GTATATTTTATGCAGCTCCACTCGTATTTTACCTCTTTCATATCTTATAATCATTGTACAGGTATGTCATATATCTATCAACTTAGATATTTTTAATACTCCTTAGTTAAGTATTCAGATATATCGTCAATGATGAGTAGACCGAAAATTCTTATTTTAATATTTATTAAACATGAGCGAAGAAACTTCTTTTCAACAAGTTCTTCATCATGATTCTACACTTATATATATGATTTGCAACAGTTGAATATTCATCGTGTAGTTGCATTGCTTATATAATGCCACATTGATCATAAATCCATATTAAGTAATTGAAAGAAAGAGTATCATAATAATCAAAGTGTATTTACAAATTCAACTGCCTATCACACAGCGAAACGTCATCCGTCTTGACTGAGCAGGAGACAGGTAAGAGTTATCAAGATATCTATTCTTCCTCACTTGATGGAAATTATACATGTCACGACTTGAATAAAACTTTTAATTTTGTCCACCATATTCCATCAACTTTACCACACAGTTTACGAGTTTGCTAAAAATGACTGAAGCTGTCGGAATTCATGTTAACAAACCTAACTTTTACATTTAAAAGAAGCTCGTACAACCACTCTCACTACTTTGGCTATCGGTATAGAAGTGAGTTTTATCTGAAATTTGATCGAACTTTTTCATTCAAAATATTCAGAAATTTCTCTAATTTCTTCCACTTTTGTATTTTAATATATTCTTAAAGTCTGACTCTTGGTTCTTACATAACTACTAACCATTCATCAAACTGTTTTGGTGGTACTTTTTATTTGTTATGCTATGCAGTAACTGTTTAATTTTCCGAATTATTACTTTGATAATTGTAATCTTTCTTTCAGTTATTGAATATTATTTTATAGTCGTTGTATATATATTTGTGATGAGAAATTAATTGAAAAGAAATTTTCTCATTCTAATCGTTCATTTTAACTAAAGTTTGGGAATACTTTGACTTGATTACCACTACTCTACTTCAACTAATATAGAAATATGAGTCGTACAGTAGCCTAGAGGTTACAATGAACATTTCAACCAAATAAACTTATAGAAATGCATACAGTTTTTATTCAAACAATAAAATAAGAATCCGAAATAACTTGATCACCTTAAAATGGTGAAACGATGTAGACTAGACTGAAAGTTGATCTCATGACTCACCACAGTTCAGTCATAAATAAATTAAATAAATATTTTCTTTTACTTCAGTAATAAAATTAAGCATGAAACTGTAAACAAAATAAACTTATTTATATGAAACGTTTAATAAATATTATGAAAAAAAGAAGTGTAATGGGTATTTTCAAGTTCACAGTTTTCTAGACATTATCTGCTAGTATAACTATATTTTTGGCATCCCAGAGGAATATTGAACAGAAACTGTTTTGTTATTTGTTCTTCAGAAGACTTAAAAATCTATCTAGGTCTTGTTACAATAATATAATGTTTTAAAACCTTCGAGAAACTTGAGATCTTTAAACTGTAAATGTTTTTCCTATATGTGTTCACAAAATATAAAGATTCTGATAGATTTTGTAATTAATTGTTGACTAGTTCATTACTTTAACCAACTCAGGTACACTTAAAGACGGATAAGAAGGTTAAGATAAATATCCAGTTTTGTGAAATCTGTTTAGTTGAAAATTTCAAAATAAAATGACATCAAAGAAAATTATTCAACGGATAAACCACAATTGGAATTTACTTAGTGTTCACGTCCTTTTCCTCGGACTTTTGGATACGTGACTCATAATCCTTGAGTCATGACACCTGTGGTAATGATTTCTATTCGAGTTCGCCCATAACCTTTGAAACTTGACATCCTACCTAGCCTAGAGTTCCAAACCTGAATATTGGTCATGGTACAATAAACATTATGTGTGTATCTAAACTTGATCTTACCAGGTCTGTTGTCCCTTATTACCGGTCGTACAGGTAATAAGCAAATACAATTGTAAGTAAAATGTGTTCTTTAAGACCTTTATCTTATATTGAGTTGATAAATGTCTATGAAATTTCGGCAAAGTTTTTCATGGTAATCAGGTTTATGTTATGCGGCAACCTGTTTTCTATTTTCGCTTTTCAGACAACAGAGGTGTTGTTCCTAAATTGAACAAGAAGTCATGATTTTTTGTAGAATACATAGAGCAGAAAATAACTTAACCGCGACGTAAGCTTCATCAAAGTAAATCTATCATCTCCCTAAAAAATGTTTTATAACGACATGGTTCTCTACAAATTCTAGTTTAGACATCTGCCCGAAGTTATGGTCATTAATATATGTTTTCGTGAATCTGAACGCTTTAGGTGTCAAATGGATCGCTAAGAGTTACAGACCAAAATAAAAATTTTATACAAAGATAAACATGGACTAATAAATGTCTGACAGTAATTTTTGTACATCAGCAAAATTATACATGAGTTTCTCTTGCTGATCACCCTAGCTAAACCTAAAATATTTCTTGAAAGCAACGCCGTAAAACATAACAGCTACAGATAAACAAAAGTAACTATCTGTTTCTAAAATCCACAAATGCTTTCTTTATAAATAGAATGCGAATGGATGAAAGCTTTTGGGCAGTCTCATTCTAGAACAGTGCAAGCGTCCAGTGCTTCCAGTTCTTAACAGTCATCCAGCTAAAATCGGTTCATGAGTTGGATAAAACTACAGGCAAATTTGTTTTGTATATTTCCTGTTTTGGTAATTAATAGTTGATAACTATATGTAGACTTATTTCTGCACTCATTTGGCGATTAATCGGGGGAGTAGTTTACGGTAAACATTGTGTGTATGAAAGAACATTTCCTGAAAGTTTTGAGAGAGCTTAATAGTTAGCTAACGTGTAAAAATTAAAACTAATTAGTACTCCACGATAAATTCAACTGTATTGTTGCATATAAGTAACTACATTAATCATACACCAGCTAAATAGTTCAGAGCAGCACCACTCAACGTGATGATCATCTACCTAACTATCACTCAGAAGTGGTGTATAGATGAATGCACTATCCTTAAGGAATGCATAGTCCACACAACAGCATTTTTATCAGGTTTTGTTTGGTAAGAGTACTACACGTGACCAAAAGCTAACTTTGAACAAAACCTCATTCATGTATATTCATGTAGCCCTTAAACATTATATTCAAATTATTCAACAATCTACTAGAATAAACTAAAAGATGATTGTTTATGAAGAAAAATCAAATATTGTATGGCTAATTTCACTCACAACATATAGCTGTTAAAGTGATCAAAACAATGTCTTAGAATAACAAGTCATAATAGAGAAACGTTTTGGTGTTCTTTCAATTATTCTATGTTAAAATATTTATGGGGCAAAATAGGCAAACGTAGTTGGAGGAGAACGCAGGCATAAGTTTATTAGAATAGTACAAAACAATCTGTGTGGAACAGGCTTTTAACTGACCAAGATCTAACTTTATTAAATCCCATGTTATAATTTGGTTTGCTACGAACCAGGTTTGTATAGATGTTACAAGGCGTAGACGTTATTTATTTTATAAGAGCCTATACGTACATTTACTTATAACCGGAAAAATAGAAATGACCACTGAATTTCGCTGGCCCATCAAAGTAAATATCTGAGACTCGCACAAGATAATGCTTTTACTTTTATGCGAATAACCCTTGACATCATATTCAGGGTGTTTTTTGAGCCATTTTTTCATTTAGAAAGACCTGAAACATTCTTTATTGTCCTCAATGTTTTTTGCTATATATAATCGGCATAAATATTTCAGGGTATGGGTGTGTGAACACGAAACGATTAATTATGGAGAATTATTTCTGCATAATTTCATTGTTGGAAATATCTTAGAAGAATTAATGAGACGGAATTCAAATACATATTCTTCAAAACATATTTATTGACGGTGAACTGCCCTAACATATCGGCTTTTCAGTTTAACACTGATGATACCATCAGGTTACGAAATCATCAGTTGTTAAATGTTTGTAGGCTATCAATCAATCTAGTATCTGGTTGGTAAATTAACATAAATTAGCCAAATGTTCCCTGAAGTCACCTTTTCTCACGTAGTTTCTTGAATAAAGTATAACAGTATATCCGCTACTTCACTGTCATAAAAACGCAAGCACCATAGTTCTATCAAAAGAAGTCGGTTTGTTTAACGACAAGAAAATAATTTGGACGACTTATCACAGTTTTATCCGACAGTCGTTAACGCGACAGAATTAACGACTAGCAAATATACCCATGAGGTGGCAGCTGGTGACTTCAGTCCAATTAAACAGCGTAGAGAATGCCGATACGCGCTTACTAAACGATGAAATGCCTGTTGCTCTATAAATGGTGGTGCTTTATCTAGACCGAGTCTATATTTCTAAAGTATAAATTACACTTTGAAATATATCCAAGATATCACCACATATATGCCACCGCAGCATATGATTTATGTGTTGTGTGGGTAACGTTTTTGATTGTGACTTGGTTGACGGACTGGAGGCCTTTGTCAAAGCAGAGTGGCCACATATTAACATACCATACGTATGGAGCGCCTCATTCTCTAAATTCAAGACTCTCTATCTTCACCTATATGTTCAAAACTATCTATTAATTGACCTTAAAACGTAGTCCATAGCTTGCACTGGACTTAGCTTTCACGCCATTAGCTACTCTCAAGTTGGGTGTACAAGTAATTTTGGGGAAACCGGTGTTTATCTTAAGTTCAAACACATTTCACACAAATTTACAGAAAGAAAAATTATCAATGACCCATTCATTCCACGAGTGCATATTGTCTCTGTTCATCATTCTGCATCTCAACATAATTCATGCGATTTTGAGCCACTCAGGTCAGAGACCACATACTAAATAAGTATCTGTATTACCAGTCAGCTTAGGCTAAATTCTGGTCCATTAGTGACTTAACTTCGATTAAATAATCAAATCAAATGATATAAATTAGATTTATGATAAATGTACACATATTACTTGGCCCATCTTGTATAAACCCATTCTTTGGATGTAGAATCTGAACCATCGTCACCCGAAAAGTCTATACCAACAATATTTCCTTGAGTATCACGGGAATGACTAGCCTTCCTCTCTGAAAGGAACATGTTGTCGTCTTAAGACGGGTAGGCGCTTTTTGTTGTTGTATGATATAAGGAAATTTAGTTTGTTTTCTGAGTACGCAGTAACAGCGTAATAATAAAAATAATTGCAGGACTCAAGGACAACGTGAATTCATAGTTCAATTTACTAAATAGTAGTCATGTCAAACGCTCCAAACTTAGCTGAGAATGTGTTTAAATAACGGTTGCATTTCACTATATTTTGGATGACAAGCTTTAAAATTATAAAAAAACATAGTCTCCACCTGATAGATTCAAGATGCTACTTTTAGTCAAACCAGTTTGTCAACCGGTTGTTGCTTCTGATGAAGAGACACTCATAGAAGTACAATAAAACTACTGGGACGCAAAATTTGCTTGAATTTTTGTTTCTTACGTCCTGTTTTTGCATATTTCGGTATAAAACTCAAAAGCGTATTGATGTCACTGATATTCAAGTCTTGAAAACTCTTTTGTCAGTAATAAGCTTGTGAACCATGCAGCCAGATCATAATTCGGGAATGAGGAATTCTGAAAAAATATTTGAAAGATAGTCGGCATGCCAAGGAGTGTGTAATATGAACTGGCTAGCTATCGTGAGGGTGCATTGCAAGACATACTATATGGTGTTTTGCTGTAGATGCGGTGCCAAGCTACCTCAGCTAGGTTGCGCCCAGTAAGACTGATGAGGTCAACATCGAGTACGAAGACTTGCAGGACTATTTATTTTTGGGATGCATTGACCTTTATATAAACATTTGTACTCCGGGCTTATTAATTCAGTCGGATTTAATGTGTGATTGTTTCTAAAATGTATGATTCATTTTTCAGTGTGGCAAACAATATATCGTAATTAATACTATCACATTTATGTATATATTTTACTGTTTATAATTTGAGGTTACATGCATCAAATTTTTTGGTATGATAATCATTTGATAGTGATTTTCCACTAAGCACTCCAAAATTATGCAACAAATGACATGTCTTTAAACAAAGCCAAATAAGGAAAGCTCATTCAAGAAAGACTAAAATTCGTAAAGTGTGGCTAAAAGAGATCTGAATATTGATTAGAATAAAAGACAGAAGAAACAAGTAAATGACTAAACTGTCCAATAAAATGACCTGGAGAGGTTTTCAGTATGTTCTTTCTGCAGGTACAGGAGATGATATCTCATTCGTTTATGGTCATCACTTTACTATTGTGTATGATATGTCTATGCTCGGTTGTTTAACGCAACTTCAAAAACTCCTCAGTACTTTCCCTTTCATTACCGTAACTATTAACCACAGTCATATCTTCATATTCAGTATGCAAGACTTCCTAGGCTCAATCAGATGCTCCTAACACTGTTAGTTCCGTGATCAGTATGTCTGTTGAGGAGTCTAAGAATTCATGGAATGTGATTTCAAGAAAGATTAACATTCCCTACTTTCTTATCATGCCCCTCTTTTACGATGAAATAAGTCCATCCTTTTAGGATAGCCTTTTGGTTTGTAGCGGTAAATAAATCCCCAAAATAAATAGCCCTGTAAGTTTTCGACATTGGATGCTGACCATATATTTCAGTGGACTCATCTAGCTGGAGGCGCTCTGTCACGCATCCGCACCAGATCACGTGTGGTAACGTCGTGCTCAACTGCTGCTGCAATCGCTAGCCAGACTTGGGAACCGTTCAAGGAAGTCATACGGGACGTAGAGCCTGCAAAAGCATTGTTTATTCCAGAAATGTTTATCCGGAGCAAACTGCGAAATGTAGTCTGGTTGTCGAGACTCTCGAGTGGAATACTATCATAGTTGTTCGGAAACAAGGTCCAGACGCTAGAGATGAGATTCTGCCTCCAGACTTGCTATTTGGCAGTCATCAGCATACGCATGTACGAAGTTGATACCTCACAAGACATTATCGATCAACCTTTGACAGGACTGAGCAGCATTTCTTAAACTGAAAGGCATGCGCGAAAACTCGTGGAGACCGAAAAGAATAATGATAGCGGTCACATTTCCATTAAGACGTCTGTAAGTTTAAAACTAGTTCGTGAATCCGGTTGCTAGAATTCGGTAGAAGAACGCTAACTTCTGCGCCAGTGTCGACGAGGTAGCGAACTTTCGTAGTCACATCAGTTATGTACAACAGACGGTTGTGTTCAATGCCTAGGGTGCCGTCAACGCATGCTGGCTGGGAAGTTTCATGTCGGTCGGTTTAGAATTCGGAAAATTATAGGGTTTTCTGCTATTTTGAGATTTTCTGTACTGATTATGATACCAGCAGCGGTCGGGGTAATCACTCTCTTGTGATCTGAAGACAGATTGTTTCCGAGAAAAACTCCTTCAAGGGGATTGTGATCGTTTTATGTCATGGCGAATACGAAGGTAGCGTGTCAGCATATGACATAGTTCCGTAATGTCATTCTGTGTCGCTTGAGGCTTTTCTTTGACTGAGAAAACCTTGACGTTAGAAGATTTGATGATTTCTAAAATGTGGTTGGCAGATGCAGTCAGCTCATCCATGGCATTGTTTTGAAATGAGACAAGCACTGCCTGCACCTGTTGAGTATGCTTGGACAATAAAATTTGTTTAAACAGGACATCGTGGAAGGTCCTTTCACCAATCACCTCTCTCATTTATAACAACATGTCTGTTTCTGGACCATGTGGCAGATCAATGTTATTAAGTAGTTGATCTAGCCTCTGTCGATCGGTTAGATCCCTGAGTTTCAGAATATACCGTTTAAGAGTTTCGCGTGGTTCCGAAACATCACTAATAAAAATACTAGGTATGACGTACCTGTTGAATCCGCGCGGTAGTGTCGTCACTGCTGAGAGTAATTGTGCACGTTTGTTAGTCACGTCTTGCCCGTAGAAGTTAGCCTTTGTGTAACAGAACCAGGCTTCTATGTTGTCTGGCCAGCACGGCATTAACCAAAATGAGAGTGGTGCCATAGAATTGATCTTCAGTACCTTAGGAGTCTGTTCTGTCATGGCGAATATGAAGTACAGGAATGAACGAGGGAAAGATATCCAATAACACGAAAAATATTACAATGTATAAAAATTAGGGTGAGGCAATGATATATGAAATTCCAGAAAAGAACAGACTCATAGTTTACAAAGTTGTGAACCAGATCACCTCGGCTCACCAATGAAGATGCCACAGGTATTCGTCGTTTGACAACACTTTAACTAGTAACACCTGTAATTGAATCGTGACCACCGAATGAAACCAAAAGTCAGAAGCGAGGACGTTCGTAGATATATTTGATAAGTTATCAATGTGTCAAGAAGTGACTGATGTAAACTAGCTAGCGGTTGCAGGAGAGGTTGAGCATGGCGTTCCCACTAGTGACCTGGTGAGGATGCTATGACCGAGTGCCTTCAGCTAGGTGAGTCTATCAAAACTAATATTACATTACTTACTTACTTACTAACTTACGCCTGTTACTCCTCGTGAAGAAGCATAGGCCACTCACCAGCATTCTCCATCCAACCCTGTCCTGGGCAATCCTTTCCAGCTCCGTCCAGTTGTAATTCATCCTTTTCATATGTGCTTCTATATCCGACGTAATGTGTTCTTTGGCCTTCCTCTCTTCCGCTTCCCTTCAGGATTCCAAGTTAGGGCTTGCCTCGTGATGCAGTTTGACGGATTTGCGTAATGTATGTCCTATCCATTTCCATCGTCTTTTCCTAATTTCTTCTTCAGCTGGAAGTTGGTTTGTTCTCTCCCACAGAAGGCTATTGCTGATGGTATCCGGCCAGTGGATGTTGAGTATCTTGCGTAGGCAGCTATTTATAAATACTTGTACTTTCTTGATTGTGGTTGTTGTAGTTCTCCAAAGTTTCAGCTCCATACAGTAGAACTGTCCTTGACGTTCCGTATTGAAGATTCTCACTTTGATATTGGTTGAAAGGTGTTTTGAGTTCCATATGTTCTTCAATTGTAGGAATGCGACCCTTGCTTTGCCGATCCTTGCCTTTACGTCTGCATCTGAACCTCCTTGTTCATCGATGATGCTTCCCAGGTATGTGAAGGACTCTACATCTTCCAGAGTTTCGCCATCAAGAGTGATTGGATTGCTGTTCTCTGTTTGAATTTGAGGACCTTGGTTTTCCCTTTGTGTATGCTGAGGCCTACTGATGCAGAGACTGCTGCTACACTGGCTGTCTTCATCTGCATCTGTTCGTGTGTACGTGATAGGAGGGCTAGGTCGTCTGCGAAGTCCAAATCGTCTAATTGATTCTGAGCTGTCCATTGTATTCCGTGTTTTCCTTCAGATGTTGAGGTCTTCATAATCGTATGAGTTCCGGATAATGTTGACAATCTTCTGAGGAACTCCGTAGTGTCGAAGAAGTTTCCATAATGTCCTCCTATCTACACTGTCGAATGCCTTTTCATAATCAATGGAGTTGATGTATAGTGTTGAGTTCCACTCAACTGATTGTTCGACGATGATCCGTAGTGTTGCAATTTGGTCTGTGCACGACCGATCCTTACGGAATCCAGCTTGTTGATCTCGAAGTTGGGCGTCTACTGCATCCTTCATCCGGTTCAGCAACACTCTGTTGAAGACTTTCCCTGGTATTGACAGTAGTGTGATTCCTCTGTAGTTTTCACATTCGCTCAGATCTCCTTTCTTTGGAATCTTGACGAGGTGTCCTTCTTTCCAGTCCATTGGCACTTGTTCCTCCTCCCAAATCTTTTTGAATAGAAGGTACAGCATGCTTGTGGTTGCTTCGATGTCTGATTTCAGTGCTTCAGCTGGTATGTTGTCGGGTCCTGCTGCTTTCCCGTTCTTGATTTGTCTGACGGCCATTCTAATTTCTTCCGTCGTTGGTGGGTTGACATCTATAGGAAGATCTATGTGTGCTGCTTCGATGTCCGGTGGATTCATTGGTGCCGGCCTATTCAGGAGTTCCTCGAAGCATTCTACCCATCTGTTACGCTGTTGTTGAATTTCGGTGATTGGCTTGCCTTCTTTGTCTTTGACCGGCCTCTCTGGTTTACTGTATTTCCCTGATAGTTTTTTCGTTGTATCGTGAAGCTGTTTCATATTTCAGTGGGTTTCGCTGATTCCCAGTACTGCTAAGTTGTATCTCCTCATTTCCATTGCTATTTGACTGGTCTTCCCGGTTTCCCACATTGTTCGAACGTTCCATGTACCTATAAAAATTTTTGCTCTAGTTGTTAGAAGGGGCATCGAACTCGTGACTTCTGAAGGAACTCGGCTTTCACTTTGAAGCGTCATAATTCTTCTAACTGAAGACCTTCTAACTCCCAGGGCAGAGTTTAAATGGTTTGGATTATTTTTTCTGGTAAGCGTTTTTTTAGCGAGTTAGTTTTCTACGGGATGGGGACGCTAACCCCATGCCCAACCCTCCTCTTTTACCCTGGCTTGGGACCGGCAGTAACCCTGTTAGAGCTACAGGCGGAGTTATCAAACTAATATGGTCAGCATCAAATGTCGAAGGCTCACAAAGCTATCGATTTTGGGGATTGATTTATTGCTACAGGGGAATTGCTGAAAAGTTTTCTGAGCCTAACATTGAGACTTTAGAATTTTGAATTATTTCAAATGACATTTGCCCAAATTATATGAACGATGTCCACTCAACGGAAATACGAACGGTGTGTACAAGTAGCTTGATCATGTTTAACAATTTTTGGGCCATTAAAAATCGTAACTCGAACCTTTAAATCTGAAAGCTCATACATTAGGCTAGGTCTAGTACCCTAGTAACAGAGATAGTCTAAAGGTGACCCAACCACAGTTTTACATTACTAAATCACAAGAGTGCGTCTAAAAATTATTGTTTGCCCCAACACACACGAATTTCTGAAGACACTCCGAAATATTACAAAAACAGAACCAATTACTTGTTTATTGATTACTGATTTTCCTATCACATAACCAATGAACGGAACTGCTTATTTTAACATAACTTTAAACCTGGCTAGAGACTTCTCTTACGAGAACTAACACAGGCCATCAAGCATTCTGTTATACTAAAAATGAATCAGGTGTCTTAAATATTTATGGATGTATTATTTCAGTAAAAAGCAATATCTACATAGTGTAGGATAACTAGTCTCTAATGGTAATAAAATATTTTTGTCTGTTAATAAGATCGAAGTGTAAAGAAACAATCTAATTTCAGTCAGTTCATTACAAATATATGTTGGATACTGAATAACCTTCACTTTCGGTGCAAAATTGAATAATTTTGTCTTGTGCAATGATATGATGCGTTATGCACTTATGTAAAGTTAGTGGCAATGAATCTCATAATAAAATGTTCAAGAAATCCACTTTACACAACTGTGACTCTGCGAAAGGATCTATTACAGACGTTGCTCCTTTGGAACATCTTTTTGTAACTAAATTTTCAAAACTGACTATTGATGATGAATATAAGTATAATCTAGCTTATTTAGTCACCAAAAATAATGAAACAACTCCAGTTGTTAAACGCTCTGAGACTGAAAAGCGGCGATCAGTCACACCTAATACAAAACCTCTTAACCGCATCCACGTTGATTCTATTCAACGTAAATCTGAGCCAGTTATTCATACAGACCACAGAGGTTTTCACAGATTATCTAAATACAAAAGACAAAAACCCTTGCGCGGGAACGTTTCGGCCCGTCGCAGTTCCCCTGTTTATGTTAGTAGTCCTGAATCGTATGAACATATGTCATCAGACCATGATGATCGAGGAATGCGAGTACGGTTTATTCGCAAAACGTCTGTCAAAAGTAAATGATAATAATAAAAATAACCAAAGTCATTTTCTTGAACACAATAAAGCTCTTATGCTAAATAATGCTCCTGTAGATCCCACTTCCAAGTTAGATTGTTTTGCCCTTAAATGCCCAGCAAGTTTGAAAACTGTCGCTCCCTTATGTGAATTGAAGAACAATTTAAAAGTCCAAAAGCCGAATCCAAACATAAATAACATTGTGCCACGTCGTGAAACTTTCCGAACAATGGACAAAACACTTCGGCAAGCAAACGGTCGTCTGGAATCCATGAAAATAGAAGTAAATGCCCCAGATCCTTTGATGAGGGATGATTTTTGCTCTCATGATGTTGCGTCCAGAGTGAAAGCATTCAAGGCACTCATGAAATCAGAAGAATTAGAAGGAACTGATCAGAATAGTGAAACAAAGTCAATTAGAAAAGTCACAGATGAACGGAAAATATCTGATGTGAGTTTTGTGTTTGGTATTCATCATAATTAAAATCCGAGTTCTCGTTCATACTTACTCTTCCAATAACTCTAAAGACGACTTTATAATGACTGTATTAACTCCCATTATTCATTTTTGCAAGTAACAGTGTATGATTTATTGAAGGGAAAGAACCCTTGAAAATAACGCTGTGTAGTATGTAAATATATGTCAGTGAAGGTCTGTGAAACCATCACTTGACATAAAACATTTACCACGTGATAAACGGTTATTTTAAACGCGGATTAACGACACCACATACGATGTATTATGTGATTAGTTTTAACAAACTCGGAGTTTGCAGAACAAGAAATAAAACTGATTCATATAAATGAGTCTAGCCTTTTCAGTTTGAAAGACGTGTTGACTTTCTCGTTAGATGCGGTCAGTGGGCGCTCCATTAGTAAATTAAGTCGGAAAACTCATGACTAAAGGTAAGCAAACTACAAGGTGAGAAACAGATAAGAACCAGCATTGTTGGGAAACTCAGTAGGATAAAACGGAATTAAGTACACCTACTACTCCAACTAAAACTCAACAGAGAGCAGCAAAATTCATGAACTTTGTCTCAAAATAGAATGAACCAAATTATTTACAGAGGTGCTAATCCACTAACTATTGGTCGGTCTGCTTGGACATTTATTTTGCAATATACCCAGTTTTGGTGAGTAAACCACTTTGACTCGCTGATTTTCACCTTCTTCGTCCTCCTGGTTTTACTACCTTCTCAGTCAAAATGATACTCACTCGTCTCAAGATCGATGTTGTGTAAAGTTTTCTCGCCTTATGGCAGAAGGAATTTTAAAAAATTAGAAGTCAAGTACCGATTATTTTATGCTATACTACTTCTTACTTATCTATGTATTTAATTAGCCGACTGGTTAAATTTTAGGCAAATATTTTGTATGATTTGATGACCAAAGATTATTGATAGCTGGTCAACATGAACTGAGTTTCTCTCACCCAAATTATAGAGCTTTTGCACACTGTACACGTTCTAATTATTTCTTGCTCGTAGGTCAATTTATTATCCAGTTGAAATGTTTCAGTGTGATTCAACCTTATTTTATTAGTTTATACAAATACAATTAGTCTGGTTAAATAGGACTATAATGCTGAGGTTGGAAACTTTATCAAGTGTATGAATGAATAAATCGTAATTGTTTCACATATTCTGAATGACTTCTTGTAATTTTAAATGCATTACTGTCGTCAAAGATAATGAGGGACTAAAAGTTTTGGTGGGATATTCTGAAGTTGTATGAACTGGAGGAAAAACAATGGTTTATAATCAAACTCCTAAAAGCTTAATAGACCATACTTTTTGTTCGATACTTTTCTTTCTTTATCTTTTTGTGTTTCTTCGTTTTGGTTTTAACGAGTGGTAGTACCACTGTTTATAACACTTTTCTCTATTACCTAGTAATAATAACAGTGACTTTTTCCAATGTTATATACCGGATGTTTCTAGCGTAAAACATTTACTTACTGTTTCTATCTATCTAATACTTCACTATGCTAGTTAAACTGTAATACCAAATAGTAATGCTGTAAGCAGCCGTAAAAGAATAAATTGAGGAAATCTGGATTTAAAATCATTAAAACTGCATGTGTTCAGAACATATAACTAGTAGCTACAAATACTGTGTTCGCCAAACCATAATGCTAAAATACCCACTTAAATGTTTTTCTGTTTGGTTTACGAGACATAATTGGATATTAATGTCACCTACCACGAATGCTATGTCTGAGTGTTTAGTTTTTTGGAGAATTTCAGAGAGCCTTCTGTAAAATTCATATTTCACTTAATCCGGGTTGCAGTCTATGGGGGCGTAGGCACAACCGACGAAAAGGTAACAACGTGTGTCCATAACCTTCCGAGTTCTTACATTTGGATGAACCGCACATAGGCGACTGTTAACACTGACCCATTATAAAAGTGCTTGTTCTGCCTACATACTCAGTGCTATGCCTACACCCTCCAGTCCACGAGAATTAGCCGTTGGGCCTCCAGATAGACGTAAGGTATTTCTCGTCGGCTCCCCGCTTTCGCTAGGTGAGGTCGAATGAATGGTCACACTAGGATTCTGTATACGTGTCTCGGAGACATAACATATATTAATGGTACGAGATTCATTTATTCAAGCAATCGTTTTTTTCCACTACATGTAAACATGTTATCATACTAATAAGTGGCAATTTTACTTACTATGTTTAATTTTCAATGCTACAGACACCTAGGTGGAGTTTTCCTTCTGAGCCGGATGGTAAACATTTGTGCTGATGATGTTGTTCAGAAGAACAATGAAAACTCTGCAGCCAAACCATCCAGCTCAGAGTAAAACATCCAGTCTAAATCATCCACTTGAGCTACAAATCATCTCCACCATCTCAAAATGCCGCATACAATCTCATTGAGAGCTTGTATGCTATACATGTCGTTGACATAGTAGGACCAAGTGGTATTTATTCATGTACGTCAGTACGTGACCTAGTAGGCTAAAAGTCTACACTGTTTGTCGTAATGGTTTGAGACACAGAAGTTTAAAAATGTTTGATATCGAAAAAGCTTGTACAACCAGGGTGCAACACTAACATGTGATATCTATTATTCAGGATTTTTACTTCATAGGTCTTGGTTAGTATGTCTTAAGCCATATTACTGGAAAAAATAGTTGTTTGAACAATTTATGATATGAAACGTTCATCAAAAGTAATTTATTCAGAGTGTAGATGATATTTCGAACTTTAATTACGAGTTCAGTCAGTCAGCTAATTATTCATTCAGAATATGAAAACCGAAACAAACACTAATCGGTTCAAGTTATCATGCTACATTCGTTGAACGAGAGGAAGATATCAAGATAAATACTAGAGTAGTAGGAATAGTCACGGTACTAGTGGTAATTAAAAGCATTAGGCATATAATATTACTTGAGAAAAAATAATTTGTCTGATGAAAAGTACAGGACAATCTTGAAACACAAGATCACATAGATAACAAGTAAATAGGACTGTGCCATTACAACCGACTACATTCTATTTCACCCATCATCTACAGCTGTTGGTTAAGAGAATCACACCGCTGATTAGAGAATGGTCATCGGTTCAACTGTAATTTTACTGCCATTTCAGGAAGTTTGTTTGGCAATGTTTTATTATGAGAAGGGGTTTCGTGGAGATTGTAGTAATTTCAATAGTTGAGGCCATGAGTCAATTGAAGCTAGACCACTATGGAAAACCTGGAAGCACTGGACGCCGTTTCGTCCTATTGTGGGACTTCTCAGCAGTGCGCATCCGCGACCCCGTCTCGTGGGACGAAACGCCGTACAGTGCTTCCAGGTCTTCCATGGTGGTGTAGCTTCAATTGACTCATGATCTCAACTATTGGAATATTTTATTGTTACGCTGATGATAAAAACTAGGAATTGACAGTTTAATAACACCAAAAGCCGTTAACAGTGATTTAATTCATTCACACTCTATGATCATACATTGAGTAATTGTCAGATTAAAATAGTTATATTATAAATGAGTAACTGGAGACGAATATTCTTATAATGTTAGTGAACTCTTACTGATAATTTTCTTCGATAATAATTTTGGTTATCTTCATTTGTTTTTTCGCACTACTAAAGGTATCATATCAGGAAAATCACATTGGTCTTCGTCGGTCCAAAACGTTTTCTGGTGAACAGATGTCAAGAAGATATCAAGTATGGTTTTGATAACACTTATTATTTTCATGAAATCGTTTTTAACATTTGTCATTTTATTTTATGTCACCTAGAAATGTAACTTTAAAGCTCAATAGGTAGCCAAATCACTAATAAGAATAACACCATATGACAATCGGCAATGGTCATATAATATACCAAATTGACTGGAAGTGAAAATCACTAACCACAGAAATCCTACTAACCATTTTTTATTAAGATCTTTAGTTGTAGGTACCACATTATTAGTGGTCCTGAGTGATCTCATTATGGAAATATTAGAGGAAAGTTAAAAAGTAGTGTGTTGACTTAAGTTGTAACCGAAATAGATATCCTGTCCTATCTAATTCGGGAGGTTTTTCTGGCTGACATTTTTTCACAATCACCAACATGAATAGAAATGTCAACCCATCCATCGATAAATAACACCAGAATGTATGACCGACGTTTCGTTGTTCAATCACCTCAGTCTAGGTTGTTGTCACTAAGATATGATTCCCTGTAGGCTCGGGATATTTGTACTGGTTAGTCACTAACTAGTAACTGATTTCATGCTCATCTAGTCTCTAGTGCTAATCGAATGCCGTCTGTCAAGTTGCCATTGGACTAATAGTTTAGGGACTTTACATCATGTTCACTTTGTTTTGATGTTGACCATGTGTTGATGTTTCAAATTGTACACCTGAGTGATATGGATTATAATACCTCGGTATGCACCAATCCCTTTAAGATTGAAGGAACTCATTGCTGACAAAGGCCTTTTGGCATAATCTCTAAGTTTAGGGTATTGTGCCAACAACTTCAATCAATCTAACATCAAAACATGTTGCACATGATGCCGACAAACTTAGATTACTGACCACATAACTTGGTAGATGGAATTCAAATGGTACCAAAGACTAGCACAATTATGAACTTGCTTAATGCTCAATGACCAATAGATTAACTGACAAGTACTTTCTCGTAGTTTGAGAGTTGTTAGTAATTCATGTCTTCAAAATAATTATGAGACCGGAATCATTTGTTTGTAGCAGCACCTAACGGTCTTATATTTGATTGCTAAAAAGTTATTTGGAGAGCGGTTGTAATGATAGTCTGAGTTTTATGATAATACATCATCCAGGTATTCGATGTTTTAAGACCAATGAACTTATACTAGTAGATTACTATCAAATGAAGAACGAAAATTATTGCTTTCAATCTGCACTAAGTAAATATCAAAAGACTGAATGTTGCGAAACACCTAATTTACAATTTAGTCAACCTTAAAAATGAAAAAAAACATGTAGCCATGAATATCAGCATCATAGCTGACTCCAGTTCAGGCACAATGAATACACGACTTTCAAAAACCCTTTAAAAGCCAAACATAAATCCAAACTTCTTTTGTCACGTCAAGTGATTCATTGACAAGTACTGTGAACTCACTATTTGTCTAAAGTAATATATACATTATTAAGTGGATTATTACAAGTAGTTGAAGCAACTCATTTAAATTTTATAGACTATAGAAGTAATTAACACTTTAGGAGTATTTACTTTGTATTAAAATCTCTATTTCATCTATTTGCTAAGATGTATATCAGCTTATTGCTTTGTGCAACATAAGTTACACAAATCAATAAACAATGTTGGGCAATTCATTATCATCAACAACCAATGAACATCAAGGTCAGTAGAATAAACTGTTATTCATATGTTGAGAGTTTCCTATACCTCATTTGTATGTTAAGTTTGTGCTAATAAAGTCATCCAGAAAGACAATGATTAAACCATTGTTCTCAGAGAACACAACGTCATCAAAACCATCCTTTTAAACTACAAATCTTTTCCATGATTATGGTTTGGAAATAAATCTATAACAAGTATATCAGCATTAGACTGTAAGCACACACTTGTTTAGCAAATTTCCATCACTTCTATTTTTAACCATTTAAACATGTAAAGGAATAAACATGCTTTTAATCTTCAATTTCATAAGGAAAAAACAAAGAACTCATTTATTTGTTTCTTTTAAAATAGGATTTTTCATTGAGACGATTGTTTTATGCACATTTATTTATTCCATGGATTGATCACGGTGTAGGTATTCATAAACTGGATGCTTTTAGTTCAAGTACTTCATTTTCATGAGTTTTTCTAATCAACAGCCTTAGTTGTTTTTAACGAAATGTTTGACTCAATGATAAAAGCAATCGCTGCAATACTGTAACTCATTTAATGACATATATTTTTTTAGTTTATTGTTTCGTTGTTTTGTTTAGTAGTAAACCATAATTGCCAGATATATTTTACTGTGGTGTCATTATCCTTGGGATTCTATTTATCGGAGTATATATATGGTGCTTAAACCTTAATTAATAAGTCCGTGTAAAATAAAAAGACAACGAACCAAACTTTCATAAAATGTATGAAAACATTTACTTCACATTAAAATTAATAAATTTGACTTATTTCTGTAATTAATGATTAAAATATTACCCATGACTTCATAGATAACTGTATTATATAGTTTATACCTGAAGTAAGTTAACCGATGCAAAGAGAGCACGTTAGATAAATGTGATCACTGGAGAACTCTGAAATTGTAACTTAGTGCCTGTCAGCAAGTCATTTCTGCGATGTAGTAAGAACTGATAGTACTCGTTGGACTCTAGCTCGAACCACACACTATCACAGTTGCAAACTTTACCACTGAGCTATCGGGGTTTTGACTGACTTCCTGCAAAACTGCGATGCTCATATTGATTAACAGCTGGAAAACTGCCAGTGTCATGCTTACCTAGTCCTTAGTGTTGATCGATCAGTCCCATTAAGGTTACGGAGGAGACTTATTGACAAGTCTTAACTACCAGAAATCTTAGATATAAAGCTTGCTTCTAATCGTTATTAATCAACCAACATTGAAATAATATTGCTTGCGATGTTCAAAACTTGGACTACTAACCTCGTTGTAGCATAATCGAAAGAACTTGATTTGGACTCAGGGTTAGATCAACATACCTTTAATTACTCCTAAGTTATCAATATTTGCAAAATATGCATTTCTTTTAGATGACGTAGTGCGCTTAGCTAACAAACATGCAGAATTCTAGGTTTATAACACTTAATAACAATTAAGCCTAAATTAAAATCTAACAGCTACCAATGCTTCCATATTTATATATATCGTAATTTGCTGAAATTAGTACAATGCTACTGCTATTGTGAACCAATGTTTTTCCAGTTAATTATATACTAACTTACATTTGACTTGAAAACACTTTTACAGAAACATTATTTGGTAAGTGAATATTCGTTGAATTGTACATGTATTGCTTATCTCATACAATGTTACACTGTTCACCTGGTGCCATAGTGAATGGTTTTTGCCAGAAAGAAACATTATTTTATTCTACTAACAAGCATTGTTTAAATAATAAACATTTAATTTCTCAGGTTATTTTCTTTACTTACTTAGGTATTTTGTGAAAAGATATGGATAGATCTAACTACAAATTGACATAAGGTAGGAAAAACTATTAAAAACTAGGAAACATTAGACAAAAGTTACATCCTGGTTTGGTACTCTTTAGTTGTGGACATCAATGAATCCACGTACGATCGAGTTTAGAAACTTCAAAGTTTGTGGTTAGATAGTCATAATCAGTATAGAGTTTAACACAGATTTGCATTAGCTTAAGGCGCTGTACTAAATGGGGATAATGAGACTAAATAAACAAGGTAAATAACAGTTTAAGTTGAAATAATTGTGCGAGCACTTGTGATAAGATCATTTAAGCATTGACAAAATGGTTCGTGAAGGAGGATAAGAAGGCAAGTATGAAGGAATAATGGGATAGATAAAACACGATACATGTTCCATCGCGGCAGATTATTAGCCATGTCACACGGCGTCTCCAGCCATTGATTAAGATTATCGCCCAAACCACAACACGGTAATCTACGCCAACCAAAATGACTAAGTCCAGTGGTCAGTGATTTCATAAACTATTACAATGTCTTCGTTTTGCTACCCTTAGCTTTCTCCCAGTTAACTTCTTCATCAGATAATAATACATTTAGAGATAGTCTGAGGTTATTCATACGTAACATATGTCACAATCACCTCAATAGATGGAGATTTATAGTCCAACCATCATATCGCTTGCATGTCAATCTCGATACGCTCGAACAGTGCTCCAAAAACACTTGTGACCATCTACATAGATTTTCTGCACCTATCGATTATTCAAGCAACCATGATATCTCTAAGTCACTGAGAATAAATTTCGAAATAAAACACAATAATTTCCAGGGCTACCTCATTTCAATAACACTTCAGTTGATTTTAATTTGGAACGGAAACTACGTTTTTGCATCTTAACAGCCATTAAACCACTTTTAAACTCCCTGAAAATTTATTGACATGAAATAAAGTTACATTAGATGAGACACCTTGATTTAATTAGAAACGATTAGGAGTAAACAATTTGTTTTTCACTAAGCATATTTCAGTTAGTTGAGATCATGAGTTAATTGAAGCTAGACCATTATGGAAAACCTAAACTGCTGAGAAGTCCCACAATAGGACGAAACGGCCATCCAGTGCTTCCAGGTTTTCCATGGTGGACGAGCTACAGTTGACTCATGATCACAACTATTGAAATTACTACAATCCCCACAAAACCCCTTCTCATAATAATAATGATATGCTCAGTAGTGACTGATTTCAAGAGGTATATCCTGGAGTTCTAGTGAGAAGAAGTGACCAGTGAAGTTCAACCAGGTCTGTTGTGAGATAGTGACTCACTGATGACAATGGTGGATGTGTCGCTCAATTCGGTGGATTAGTTGAAGTTAGACATTAACACCGTTGGATACCATCAATCTGTTTATTCAGTAAGTATAGTATGCATTTTTGGTTCGATTTAATGTTCGTTTACTTCAAAAATGTAACAATTTAAGTTAATATACGTTTCAAAAATACAACCTGATATTTTTTCTCTCTCAAGAATATATAATTTGTCATTCCTAGAAAAGCCGTATAGATTTTTGAGACATATTCATAGTCATTCTGTGGACTTTTTTGATCTGTCTAAAATAGATGGTATGAAGAAACTAAGACGTGTTTCCAGTTTATTTGTTTGAATAATGTGGTAGCATTTGAGCATAGGGTTTATAATAGATAATTTAGTCGATGAAGTATGAATATGAAACGCAACAGGTAATTATAAATTGACCAGATTCAAGACAAAATACATCATTTGGAAATTGTAATATGTGAATTAAGAATTGTTGTTTCTGTTATATAAAATCAAATCAAATCGTTTATGTTGGGGCTGACTAATGAAGTTTTTAACTTGAATCAGTTTATAAGTGAAATGAAATTGTGTGATAAATGATCAGAATAAATATGATCAACATCGGGTGAGAGAGAAAATAATGGAATGAAAATCAGAAATTACGTAATATGTAGAATATTATGACTTAGGTTAGATATAGTAGATAGGGGCGGATACTGAATAAATTCCTCAAATACGTTATTAAGTGTAATGATGATAATAATGACAATGGTAAAGATAATAATAATAAGTTTGGGACATAAAATGAACATTAATCAAATTACGTCACCATATTATAAGATTGATTATTAACTAGTTGGCCCCAAGGTTGGCCAGAGTAAAAGGAGTGGCTGAACATATTTCTTTTGGATGCAAAGCTCTGGCTTTTTGAACCGAATAGCAATTGCTTCAGCCGTCTGTATGATTCTCAATCTGACGGAACTAGGTAGACTATTGCTAACACGATAGATTATTGCAAAAGATTGCTCCCTGTTGGCAGCATGTCCCGTCTGAACTAGATGGTCTAAAATGGGGCTTTTAACCGTTTTGACCAAACGTTTGCCTAATCACACCGGAAGGTGCTCACGAGCCCGAATGTACAAATGCCTAGGACGTCTGCCAATATAACCTGCTCTACAGGAGCAGTTGAATTGATAGATACAGAAAGACGTGGCTAGTTTAAGCAATTTACCTTTCAACTTCGGAGTGATTTTTGGACGTGTGGAAAACATTAGTTGTAGTTTACCTGCATTAAAATCCTTTGAATTGATCTTCTTATCTTCAGTCCTAGCATTACACTCGGTGCATCGCCTCTGAAATGTAAGCGTATATACAGAGGCTTTTTATTTCCAGTTAGGCATTCTCTATGCTGTCTTTTATTGGCAACGTTTTTATTTATAAATTTCTCCGGATATCCATTTTCTCTCCCACCCCATGTTGATCATATTTATTCTGATCATTTATCACACAATTTCATTTCACTTATAAACTGATTCAAGTTAACAACTTTATATTAATCAGCGCCAACATTAACGATTTGATTTGATTTTATATAACAGAAACAACAATTCTTAATTCACATATTACAATTTCCAAATGATGTACTCTGCCTTGAATCTGGCCAATTTTATGGATTATTAATTTTGATTTATAATTATAGAATCTGATGAGAAATTCATTGAAAAGAATATTCTTCGTTCATACAATTGTGTTTTTAATATAACAGGAATTTTTCGGCGATTAAAATTTATAATATACAAATACACTTCTAAAGATGAAGAATGTATTTGTAAAATCTCAGCGAATGAATTTTGAAGTAAATCCAACGTTTCACCTAGCAATCTGGTCCAATCTTTTTCAAGGAAATTATAACGTTGGATTTACTTCAAAATTCATTTGCTAAGATGCTACAAATACATTCTTCCTCTTTATGGTCTCAAATTAATTCGTCGCCCAAATAGTGTGAAACTATTCGATCAAATTTAGTGAGATGGTGGAGAAGATTTGTAGCTCAGGTGGATGATTTTGGTGGAATTTTGTTCTCTGAGCTGGATGGTTTGGTCGTGGAGCTTTCATCGTTCTTCTGAACGACATCATCAGCACAAACTTCAGATAGAAGTGAAGTGTTTGAATTTCTCCATATGTGTCTCCCATGGGAGACACAACCAAAACAAAGAAGTAAACAAGGACAATTTTAAGATCAATAAGAACCAATCAACGTCGAGGTGAACAGAACAAGCTTTGAGACACATATGGAGAAATTCAAACACTTCACTTCTATCTGAAGTTTGTGCTGATGATGTCGTTCAGAAGAACGATGAAAGCTCCACGACCAAACCATCCAGCTCAGAGAACAAAACTCCACCAAAATCAAATTTAGTCGAAAGTTCTTATTTATTATTCTGCAATCGCATCAAATTATCGATCTTATTTCAACCATAATGATTTAAAATTACTTGTTTTTTATTGTTTGATCCATTAACATCTTGAAACGTTAACAGACTTTCTTGTGATCTAATTTACTAACAAGATGAATAGTTGTATTTTCTCACTCATTTCTACTAATAAATGATCATTCTGACTTCAAATGTTTTGTGCTTACACTTTTTAAAGTATTGATACTTGGTTGTTTTTAAGTCTATAAACTGATTTACAACCAGATATTTATGTAAGTAGCAGAAAAGATACAACTCATCGTTAAATATATTACTGTTCATAACCTACTAGACTAACAGTAACAATAAAATGATGTACGGTGCCGCAATTTCGTGGATTGGTTGAAGTTATACATTAACACCGTTGAATGCCGGCCAGCTCAGTGGTCTAATGGTTAAGCGCTTGCACGCGGGACTGATAGGTCTCAAGTTCGAATCTCGTGGGGAGCGGAATCGTGGATGCGCACTGCTGAGAAGTCCTACAATAGAACAAAACGGTCGTCCTGTGCTTCTAGGTTTTCCATGGTGGACTAGCTTTAATTGACTCATTATTTCAACTACTGAAATTATTGAAATCTCTACGAAACCCCTTCTGATGATAGATAAGAGTCATTGAAAATAGTATGAACTTATAATAATCACTATTCATTAGTACTAAGTGTAATATATGAAATCAACAAACACAAAAAGTCAGTGTCTAAAGAAATACGTGATTCATTTGTGAAGTATTAATGAAATAATTAGTAAAAAATGATTTGATAGAATGTCTACTGAAGTATTTTTTTAATAGAAAAGTAAAGTAATTATTTGTACGTGTGAAACTGAGAAATTAACATGTCTACATAACCTAACATACCCAAGAAAAATTGATTTCAGTTGATTAGAATGACTTTAGTGCTATTTAGAACAATTTTCTAAAGTTAGTTCATTTTAAATGTAAACAGTTGAGATCATGAGTCAATTGAAGCTAGTCCACCATGGAAAACCTGTAAGCACTAGACAACCGTCTTGTTCTATTATGAGACTTCTCAGCAGTGCGCATCCACGATCCCGCCTCGCGAGATTTCAACAAATGACCTACCAGTCTCGCACGCCTGCGCTTAACCACTAGACCACTGAGCTGGTAGGCATCCAACAGTGTTAATGTCTAACTTCAACTTATCCACTGAATTGAGCGACACATCCACCATTGTACTCAGTGAGTTACTATCTCACAACAGACCTGGTTGAACTCCATTAATCACTGCTTCTCAGTAGAACTCCAGGATATACCTCTTGAAGCCAGTCACTAGTGAGCATATGTTGATTAGTATCAGAAGGGGTTTTTGTGGATGTTATATTAATTTCAATAGCTGTGATATGAGTCAATTGAAATGTGTCATTAAATTATATTTTTTCTTAAAAGTGGTTTTTAGTTTTATCAAGAAACAATACATCATGACAACTAACAATTTACCTTATAAACATCATCAAACTTTGTTTTTTTATTTTATTGTCTACTGAAATGCTTACATTTTGTTTAATGTCTTAATCAATTTTTTTCGTTGTTATGCTGATAAAAGTTTTTGAAATGGTTTCCTTATTATATGACTGACTAAATAGTTCAGTATACAGTTTTGTCATTCTTTTCCTGGTTTTACATTCATTTGAAGTGATATATTTGACTTTTAATATTCGATAGGATAACGTTATTTATATCTTCTTCTCAAAGCGGAGACTGATGATCTTGCCAATAAATGATAATGAAAACTTAGAGAATAAATATATTTACGGGGAATCTATCTCTATTATTTCATCAGTTTTTTAAAATATATTGATATCACTATAGTATACTGAGAAAAAAGCCTGTCAAGCTGAAAACTAGATAATTTATTATTAATTGAGATCAAAAACTGATTAGACCACCATTGAAAACGTGGAAGCGCTGGACGGACTTTTCATCCTATTGTGCGACTTCTCATCAATCGATTCATGATCCCAATCAAAACCTGAATAATCTCCACAACCCCTATACTGATAATTTGTTATTAATTTGTAAATTGTTTTCACTATTTTTATTTTTATTCAACAACAAAAAGTACCAGTCTTTGATGAAAGTTGACAACTAATGTTTAATAGTTTAAATTCTTATTAGTTAGCTGATAATTTTATTTCTCAAAATGATTTCTTTGAAGCTAATTCTTTACTGAAATTGATTTATTGCAATATTTTAATAACATTTTATTTGTATTATACCTACAGCGGGATTATATTTTATAGTTTGTAAATAGTTAAGTGTTTGGTAAATGAGTATAAAAATAGTTATTTATAAAAAAACAATAATGGAGTTATGTTAAAGTAAATAGTAAGTTCATAAATAAGTTATTTATTAAAATCTTTAGGCATAGAAATACGTTATTTGTTGTCAGTTAAACAAAATCAAAGATTAGCAAATGTTACACAGAAACATAAAACAACTTATTGACAAGAAGAAATGTTCTTTAATGTTTGTGTATCATTGCTTTATCTATATGAGAGTAAACTCTGTTATTAACCATACAACAGTAAAACGTTGTCAGTGTTGGGGTTGTGGAGATTATTCAGGTTTTGATTGAGATCATGAGGCGATTGATGTTAGACCGTCGTTGGAAACCTTGAAGCACTGGATGGCCGTTTCGGTTATATTGTGGGACTCTTCAGCAGTGTGCATCCAGTGGAGCTAATCCGTGTCGGGTAGAGACAGGTATCTACCTCAGTACAATGGAAGATGGTTGTACAATTTCGTGGATTGGTTGATGTTAGACATTAACACGATTGGATGCCGGCTCAGTGGTCCAGCAGCTCAAGCGTTCATGCGCGAGACTGAAGGCCCTTGGTTCGGAACCCGCAAGCGGATCGTACATGCGCACTGTTGAGGAGTCCCACATTCGGACGAAATGCCCTTCCAGTGCTTCCAAGTTTTCAATAGTGGTTTAACATCAATCGGTTTATGATCTCAAGTAAAACATTGTTTTACCGTATTGGTATCCAATCAAATGGATTTATGTTCATTGTAGAAGAATAACATACATTCATTCATTATTTTATAAGGTGTGTAATAGTAACATTTCAATCAATGAACTCCTTATAAACATTTTTCAGCATTTTCAATTGCTTCATTTTTATTTATGTAACTCAATATACTAACAGTTAGAATATGTCTATCTAGAGGAGATTTAATTTACAAGTTGCATTTGTTAGAGATTAATCATAGTTTAGATATTATTGAAAATCAAATAGAACTGAACGATTTGATTTGTCCAAGTTTTTGATAGAGTTTTATTCTTTGAGTTGGATGATTTACTTCTACCTAAAGTTTGTGTTGATGATGTTGTTCAGAAGAACGATGAAAACTTCACGATTAAACCATTCAGCTCAGAGAATAAAACTTCATCAAAATCATTCACCTCAGCTACTAATCTTCTAAATCATTTAAAGATTTGTCCAAGTATTAGACTGTTTGTTTATCGATTTGTGCTCATAACGTAATCAATGATCAAATGTATGATATTCGAATTGTTTAGCGAACTCTTAACTGAAAGTATAAATTACATTAAGAAGTATTCATTCATATCTTAGCGTTTTTCTTAAAATTATAATTATTTCTATTGATAATGCCTAATTAATACATAATGTTGTTTTCGTTTTCTGAATTTTTTTTGTTTTCTAAAATATTCACTCATATTAGCAATATATGGATTTATGCTTTGATTGCGGAAACGTATTTATCCTGTAGATCGTATATCTACCGGTGAACGAGTTTATCATAAAGCATGTTTTCGTTGTGCAACATGTCAAAGAACATTATTGTAAGTTTTGTTTTAATTTTCTTTTTTTAGAGAAAAAAATATTGTTACTTAGTCAGTTTCTTATAATTTGTGATTTGATCAATTTTTTGTTTTCTGTGGTTAACGTTTTTTAGCGAGTTAGTTTTCTACGGGATTGGGCCCTAACTCCTTACCCAACCTTCCTCCTTTATCCGGGCTTAGGACCGGCAGTAGCCCCAGAGGGGCTCCAGGCGGAGTTTCTTATAATTTGTACATAATTAATTTTTTTAGTAAATGGAATACACACATTAAGATATTGAATAAGAAAGATTAGTTCAGTGAAGAGTTCTCTTTTCCTTGAAAATGAATTCGCTGAAAAGAGAGCTCTTCATTCAACTAATCTTTTTTACATAACTAATTACCAAATAGACATGCCGTTATTTCTTTAAGTAAGAATAGAGCACGTTGTGTAAATATTTTTCAGAGACAGAAATATATGTAATTCAATATTAAATCATTTAATAATTTTGAAAAAAATTCATCATTTAACCTATCATCCATAGAAAATCAGTTAAACTTTTTGATGTCCTCGAAACTCCAGCTGTTAATTAAAATGTGTAGACAGTAAATATGTGAAATTCAACATAGTTTCAGATGTAAGAATATATTTATTGAAAAAAATAGTCACGTTTTAATAGGCTCCAGAACATGTGGTACTTACTGACACTCGTTAATAATGGAACTTCTTGACTTAATGGCAGCATTTAATTGCGAGAACTTAAAGGTTTCATGGTAATGTTTGTCATTAAAATGTATGACGGAGAAAATTTTTACAGCTGTGAAACATAGCTTTTAAAAGTAAAAAAATTATAGATTACTAGCATTTATTCATGCGCTTTTTGTAGCGTTGGTCATATATGTTGGAATCACTAAGTTATTGATGTCGAGGTTAGGTATTTGGTAATAGGCAACGATGACAAATCGGTTTGTGAAACTGTGTATTGCCATTAAGTGAAGCGGTTAGAATATGTGCTACGTCTGTCTAATCACGGACTATCTCAATGTTCAGCCTCGGCTGGAGTGGGAGAAGTTCGTGAGAAAGCTAAGAGTAGCAAAACAATGAAATATCATTGGCCCGTGATTTTATTGAATGCTGGTCAGAGCTATGTTAGTAAGTGTTGACTACCTAATCACAGTTCTAATGGTTATCGTGATCAATAGACGGATACTTTTAGCGATATGTTTCAGAACTGCTCGCAATGATGCAGACGGATCCACTCTTAATCTGTTCCTAAATTTTGAATTTCACACTTTTTTCGTACGTTTTTCACTAATTGTTCTCTCTTTCCTAATTATATTCCTTAACCCCAATCAACTTTTGTTGTTACAAACACTATTACTTCTTAATTATTCATCTTGATGATTTCATCACATTGTGTTAAAACGGTTTGGACCGTTTTGCTATACAAACACTTATGCTAAGTTCTATGTTAATTATGACAAAATTACTGACTGAATGAAACTATGACTTCTGAAATTTATCTTTTAAACAATAATAAGCTTTCTATTAAATGAAATGTCTTCAAACGGTAATGAACTTTCAATAAAATTATACTCAATTAGTTATTTGTTATTTTATCAAGGGATATATGCTTGTTTTTTTTACGGTCATTTCTTTCTGTAAAATGTACCGACTTTGATTTTAAGTTCAATTACATAGTAACTAAATCAATTTCATTCATTTGATATTTTTTTACTTGAATCTTCCCATTGATGTTTTAGGACTGAAATTGATCAGTCTCTTATTGGTGTATGTGCATATTTTGCGTATTCCTCGATATTGCCTTAATTTACAGGCAGTATAAGCGAAAATGGATAGTGGTTAGCAGTGGAATCCAGGACTCAGGACTCAGTAGCTAAGTGGATCACGCGATGGCGTTTGAAGCGAACGGTACTGAGTTCGAGTCCCAGAGTGAGCGTCAACTCCGAGATGCATGTACATCCGGCTGACGAGCCCCAAACAGAACGAAACGCGCGTCCTGAATTCCATACTAGCCACTATACATCTTTGCTTATAAATCAATTTTAGTTTATTCATTACATTGGTTGAAAAAGTTGAACATTCATCATTCATTTAGGTAATGTAGAACATATTTTCATTAGTGATAAACAATGAATAAATGGAATATAAATTCCTCACTTCTCGTCATTTTAGTTTCTTAGTAAACAGCATCATAAATGTCATCATCTCAGTTAATAGTTTACTTGATTAATTGTTTTATATAATTACTTAGTTACAATACTCTTATAATATAAGAGGAGAAAATAATTTGAATTTCTTGTGAATTAAATTAAAATTTTCTTTTCGTGAGTCAATTGATATATTGAAATGGTAATTGTTTATGAAGTTGTATTCATGTAACTATGATAAACAAAAGTTACTATGATATAATACATATTGAAGAAATTTATTATCTTTAGAATGAGGAATTGTGGAGATTGTAGTAATTTTAATAGTTAAATTCATCCGTTAGTGTAAACTAGAACATCATTGAATACCTGGAAGCACTAGACGATTATTTCATCCTAGTGTGGGACTCCTCAGCAGTGTGCGTCCAGGATTCCACATGCGAGACTCGAACCCAGGACCTTTGATCTCCTTCGTGGACGCTTAACCTCTAGGTCACTGAGCCAGCACCCCATGGTATTAATGTCTAACTTCAATTGATCCATGATTTTGCGTGACTAGCAGAGCCTAATGTGTGCAGGGTGGAGGCAGGTATCTATCTCAGACAATTGATGAATGGTTACTCAAGATCATGGATCGATTGAAGTTAGACATCCACATCGTGATCTAGAGGTCCAGTGTTCGCGACGGAGACAAGAGATCGTGGGTTCGAGTCGCGCACGCGGGACCGTGGATTCACACTGCTAAGGAGTCCTACATTAGGACGAAACAGTCGTTCACTGCTTCCAAGCTTCCCATGATGTTCTAGCTTGATCGACTCATGAATCCAACTATTGGAATTCATTATCACTGATTGTAATTATCGGTAAAAACACTAGAAATAATGTAAGCTGTAAAACGCAATTAGTGTTTGAACACTATTGACTAGGTTTGAGATATAATTTTTCACAGAGCGATTAAAGTGAAAATTGTGAACTGAATTTTAATTTAGTGATTTATTGTCATATACTTATTTATCATTATTAGAATTGATTATTAGTAACCGTCTATCGGAGCAACGCAAATAAGCAAACAATACGATCAGAGGCGATAAACAGTGAATGAAATTTCTTCTCATACCTCAGATCCATTTACGAATATAAACAATCCGTTATCTTAACACTCTTTTCTTTATACACTACATGTCTCATTATATCAAATATCTACTTTAAATATTGTTAACATGATTGGATGACCAATTTAGTATACAGTTAACCTAAGAACTATTTATGTTCGATAATTTTGTTGTTTGACTATGTTCTTTTGAAAAGCTTGAACCAGATTGTCGAGTGAAATGTTAGATTTCCTTCAAATTCATTCTCTCATATTCTACTGATACATCCTTCCTCTTTAAAGCAAACAATACTCTTTCCATCATCAAGTTTAACTCTGATAGAAGTAATATTTAGGTATACATATGAAAAATATTAGGTCAGTTTGTGGGTTAGTAGTAACATTGAGATTCATTGCATAACTAATTACATAATATAATAATTAAAGATTGTGAATTGGTAGTAAAGTGACATGTGTACTAGTAGTAATGAGAATAATGATAACCTAAATAAGTATTTCAACAAATAAAGTAAATCAAAACTAGAAATAATAAACTTGTAAAGATTATGATTACATTAAAAATTAAATAATAAGAAATATGCAAGTAGTCGGTGAAAACACATAAATAGTGAAGGAGAGAAATGGAGATAATCAAAAGATGTAAACGAATGACAGGATCGTCTCTTAAGTCACGTTTAATTAAGAAAGTAATAGATGTGCTACAAATCTCTTTTGAATGTAGAAAGTGGAGCTATTAGCCTGATAGGTGGAGAATAAAGCCGAACCCCAAACCAAAGGTTTTCATGTTATAAGATCAACCACGGTGAATGCTTTGGTTTAATCTATTAACTGCGATAAAAAGGAGAGGTGTATGGTTTCATTCTGACTATTACTAAACTACCAAGTGGGATATTTGTTGTCTCGTTGGCTAAGTTGTCTGGTCGTAAACCCAGTATAATTTCCTCCACAAAAGTAATCGGATTCATAAATACATAAAGATGTGGAAAAGCAGGTCATTTGTCCTTCATTTGTGGAACTAGCATGGATAGAATGGAGACCAACAAACAGTGGTTACCTGGATTAAAAGCCCTTTTGATTGTTCCAGTATGACTGTCGTATAATAAGTCACTAGTTGTATCACCGTCGATTTGCGGCTCCATGAACAGAAGTTTTTTTTCCAAGTGGTCCATGTTTCTGAATTTGCAGTATCCATATGTCTGTTCAGAAAACTCTATACGTTGACCTCCCTTAATTACGAGTTCTACAAATGATTATAAATCTTATTTAATTAATTTGTAATGATGTTTTTATGTCTGCAAATTCATATGACTGACCCATAGTCTTGAATGTAAATAATTATTTATGAACTAAAATAACTCAATCACATCGAACACACATAATAGATGTGATGAGTCAAAACTTTTATACACACACACACACACAAAATTGATCTGACTATTGTAACTGATTTACACTAAATACATAGGCTAACGTAGAGTATGCTATAACATCTTGTCTCAGTCTGTTTGTAACCATAGGCGCTAAATGATGCTAACATTCTTGTACACAGCTTTCAGATATACATAAACATACTTAGTGATGTCCAATGCTGCTTAACCAAAATGATGTAGGTCGCGTTAATCAGAGCCTACAATTCAAATGTTGAAAGAATATCTCTTGAAACTAATTACTTTTAACTCTGGTTCTTACATCATCATCTGAGCTAGTTAGATTTTCAGCTATCTGGAAAATGCTAATCTTC